TGTGCAGAGTCCAATGGGATGAAGTTTAATAAGTCCAAGTGCTGAGTCCTGCATTTTGGCCACAATAACCCCCTGCAACGCTATATGCTGGGAACGGTGTGGCTGGACAGTGCCCAGGTAGAAAGGGACCTGGGGGTACTGGTCGACAGTCGACTGAACATGAGTCAGCAGTGTGCCCTGGTGGCCAAGAAGGCCAATGGCATCCTGGCCTGTATCAGGAATAGTGTGGCCAGCAGGGTCAGGGAAGTAATTCTTCCCCTGTACTTGGCACTGGTGAGGCCACACCTTGAGTATTGTGTCCAGTTCTGGGCTCCTCTGTTTAGGAAGGATGCTGAGATGTTTGAGCACATCCAGAGGAGGGCAACGAGGCTGGTGAGGGGCTTCGAACACAAACCCTATGGAGAACAACTGAGGGAGCTGGGGTTGTTCAGCCTGGAGAGGAGACTCAGAGGTGACCTTATCACTCTGTACAACTACCTGAAAGGTGGTTGTAGTCAGGTGGAGGTTGGTCTCTTTTTCCAAGCAGCTGCTGACAGAACCAGAAGACAGAGTCTTAAGCTGCACCAAGGGAAATATAGGTTGGATGTTAGGAAAAAGATTTTAGGGAAAGAGTGATAAAATGATATTGGGACACATAAGACAGATGATAGACTTTGGACCTGGTTAGCATAAGAGATTTGATAACAGGATGCCTTGGCAAACAGAACTTTGACGATTAAATCAAGACTAAGCTGAAGATTAAATCAGGACTTACCAGAAAAGAAAATTACATCAAAACTTCTGCAAGCAAGAGATTTTGTAAAATGTATAAGTTTGTTTATGTGATGATTAACCCAATCATTGTAGTAAAACATTGCTAGTCTTCCTAAAATAGTATATAAGCATTGTAGTCCACAACAAATTTGGATTTTTCTGACCATATCGGAGTCTCCCTGTCTCTCTTCATCGCCGATAAAGTACTGGAATGGTCTGCCCGGGGAAGTGGTGGAGTCGCCATCCCTGGATGTGTTTAAAAAAAGATTGGATGTGGCACTCAGTGCCATGGTTTAGTTGAGGTGTTATGGCATGGATTTGACTCTATGATCTTAAAGGTCTCTTCCAACCTAGTCATTCTGTGATCTTACTGGTTTCTACAACTACCTGAAAGGAGGTTGTAGTGAAGCAGGTGTCAGTCTCTTCTCTCAGGCAACAAGTGACAGGACCTAGCTTTAAGTTCTGCCAGGGAAGGTTTAGATTGGATATTAGGAAAATTTTCTTCACTTAAAGGGTGATTAGGCATTGAAACAGGCTGCCCTAGAACTGTTAAAAAAACATGCACTTAAGGACATGATTTAGTGATGAACATGGCAGCAATAGGTTAACATCTGAATTCAATGACCTTGGAGATCTTTTTCAACCTTAATGATTCTATCATTCTATGATTGTAACAACAAGCACCTAGTCTTGTACCTGGAAAGGAAGAACTCCTTACAAAGATATAGGCTGATGCCTGCCTGGCTGGGGAGCAGCTGTGCTGAAAAGGGCTTGGGAATTCTTGATAGACAGCAGGCTTAACATTAGCCAGCAGTGTGCCCTGGCAGCAAAGGTGGTCAAAATAATCCTGGGCTGTATTAGCAGTAGTGTAGACATTAGATCAAGGGAAGTGATTATCCCCCTTCACTTAGCACTCATTAGACCATATTTAGAACACTGTTTAGGGCACAGTACAATGCAGGAAAAACATCGATCAGCTGAAACATGTCTAGTGGAAGGCCACTGAGATTATCCAGAGCACATGCTGTATGAGGAGACACTGAGGGAACTGATCTTTTTCAGCCTGAAGAGAAGAAGGCCTAAAAGTAGTCTTTCAGTACCTACAAGGAGGCTATCAAGAAGACAGAGGTAGGCCCTTCACAGGGCGCATGGTGGAAGGACGGGAGACAACAGGCGTAAGTGGAAACAAGAGAGGCCCTGACTGAATAGGAAACTTTTTCAGTGTGAGGCTGGTCAAGCATGGGATCAAGGTGTCCAGAGTAGTTGTGCAGTCCCCATCCTTGGAGGCTTTCGAGACCAGACTGGACAAAGTCTTGAGCAACCTGGTTTAACCCTGAGATGACCTTGCTTTGAGCAGGAGATTTGACTGAAGACCTCCTGAGATCCCTTCCAAATGGAATTTTACTATGATCCTATATTAATGTAAGTTAAGCCCTGTTGTATTCTCTTCCTTTCTGGAATGCCCGTGAAATACTTAACTGGGTTCAGTAGTAGAGAAATATAGTTCATTATCTGCAGTTTGCAGCTGAGACAGTTATTGCCGTGGCACACCTAAGATATTTGTTATCATGAGGACTTAGTGGTCTTGGACAAAGATCTAGCAACATGTTTAATGTTTGTTTTCTTTGTATAAGGAAAGGACATAAAAACAGCACATGATGGAGTAAAAGTGAGGAAGCACCTATCAGCTCAAGTCTCCATAGACAGGCCTATGCAGCATGCTGCACACCAGAACAGAGATCTATCTGATGCTATCACCTTGGGGGTCCTGATATCAGAAGGAGTGTAAGACAGCATCTAATACAATTACTATAATTGGTTCCATATAGATTCTGGTTTTGTGTCTATAAACAACCTCTTTTGCTGACATCCTGGATAGAATTTGCTGTTTCCTTGAGTCCTCGTCTGCCCAACAGCTAAACAGAATAGCAAACAACCTGAGGATAAAACACAAGTCTTCTAGACAGTAGTACTAGGGCCAAGAAAGGGGTTTCCATCAGCTGATCTATTGCTAATTTTTAACTAATATTTATCTCACTGTATACTACAACAGACTTAGACTTCACTAAATCAAAATTAGAGCCTACAAGAAAAAAAGGCTAGTGTTGTATAACATTTAATTTGCCTGTGTCAACAACTGTGTGCAGCCTCTATAAGAACTAGCTAGTTATATAAATTTATTTATTTGAGTTAATAAAACTATTACTCTAAAATGCATTCCAAACCCTGTGTGTGGTTGTGGTTGTCCTGGGTTGCAAGATGTGGGTTGGGGTCTGTATTCTGTCATCATCTGTTAGAGGTGAGGCAGTTATCTTCTGTTAATTGGGCAGTTTTTCTTTCTCTCTTCCACAACCAATCCTCCCTCTGGGGAGATATCTTCTGTTAATGGGGCATTGAGTCTCACTGATAAAATTACATCATCCCACCTGTCTTTTCAAACCAAGACAGTGGTCAGAGCAATGCAGCAGAGGGCCAAGTAAACAATAGAAGATCTGGCTAAATGAACATTCAAATAAAAGACTCCTGTAAAGACATGTTGTAGTGGTTTGACGCTGGCCCAACTCAAGGCACCCTCGAGAGAGTCGTTCACTCACCCTGCCACAGCTGGGCAACAGAGGGAAAAAACCTAATGAACACTTCATGAGTTAGCTAAGAAACAGGAGAAATATTTCAAGGGCAAAACAGGCTCAGCTTAAGTTGCAAAGTGAATTTTATTACTAACAGAATCAGAGGAGATAATGAGAAGTAAAATAAGCCCTTAAAACACCTTCTTCCCCCCCCCCCCCCCAGCCCCTCCTTCCTTCCCACCAACAGTGCAGGGAGACAGGGTGTGGGGGTTTTGGTCAGTTCATCAGATTTTCTTCTACTGCTCCAGGGGAGGAATCCTTCCCCTGTGAGACAATGGAGTGCCTCTCACGGGAGACAGTTCTCCGTGAACTTCTCCAGTGTAGTTCCACTCTCACAAGCAACAGCCAAACTGCACCTGCTGCAATGTGAACTCCCCCAATGGGCAGACAGTCCTCCCAAAACTGCCACGACATGGATCATTCTTCCACAGGATGCAGTTGTCCAAGGACAGGCTGCTCTAGCCTGAAAGCAGGGGCCCCCGTTCTCCACTGGGTCTTCCACTGGATCACAGCCTCCTCCAGGCACCTCCCCCATGAGCTGCGGGTCGATGTCTGCATTCCCCGTGGACCCCTATGGGCTTCAGGAGTACAGCTGCTTCACCATGGTCATCACCATTGCCTGCAGAGGAATCTCGGCTCTGGTGCCTGTAGCACCTCCTGCCCCTCCTTCTCCACTGACCTTCGTGTTGCCATGTTTTCACTATTATGTTCTCACCTCCTCTTCTCTGACTAGGAGAAAAAACCTGTGACTTTGTTTTGATTTTCTTCTTAAATATGTCATCACAGACGTATCACCAACTTCTCTCATTGGCGCAGTTTTGGCCAGCAGCATGTCCATCTTCAGAGCCATCAAGGATTGGCTCTGCTGGACATGGTGGAAGCTTCTAGCAACTTCCCACAGGAGCAATCTTTGTGGCTCCCTTGCTGCCAAAAACCAGGCCATGCCAAACCAATACACACGTGAAGAAAACACTTATTTTGACATTCAAGGTACAGACTCTCCCTTGAAATATCTCAGCTACAGAGTACATGTTTATGGACAGAGTTGCTATAGAAGCAGCAAGTTTGAAAAGTTTGGTAGAAATTTTAGATTGCATAGGCTCTGACAGCAGACTTGTTCTGGGAATACCACTTGGAAGTAAGATTCTAAAATGGAAGGCTTTTAAAGATCTTCCTACTTCTCAATACTTGGTAATTTCATAAAACATTCACTTAATAAAAAGAACTTTAGTTTAGCAGTGTATGAAATACCTGCCAAAACCTGACTTATAAGTGCTTGGCTCCTGACTGTAATCAAGCTTTTTGTTGAAAGTAGAGTCTCATCCCATCCACTGTGCCTGATGGTCCCCTTTTGTTCTCTTTAGCGAATGTTTTTCACTCCATTACAGATCTAGCTTTAAAAAAATAGTTTAAAAAATTAGTGAATTTAAGCTAAAAAAGTCTTAAAAAATAAAAAAAGAAAGTTTCTCAGTGACCATACAACCCAAAGATCATATGTAAGCAATTGTTAGTTGGGGGGGAACACCAAACAATGTTTTTATGAAAGCAAAATGTAACATTTAAATCCTCCTAGAAGAAGTAGACAGCCAGTGTTTTCATTGATGCCATCCAGATCTGCAGTACTGATGTCATACCAATTTATTGCTATTTGTGTTAAAATCAGATTTAAGAGCTATACCAGGAATATAGCAGAAGTATAATTGTGATTTCCAATATTCATAGAATAACACATAGCCATATCTAATAACAATAGCAGTTTCTACTGGAAATCTATCACCTATTGTGTAAACATTGTATTTGTGCAATTTATTTTTCATACTTTAATTCCCAAAATTATAAAAGGCAAATTTAGTAGCATAAAACACATCCACTTCCACATTTGGCAATGAGAACCTTCTTCATATACAACCAAAAACCTAGCAGCACATTTTCAAACATTATTACAATCATTTCTGGATTACTCTCCCTCCAAATACCCTCCATGCTCAAAACACCAAAAATAAAGTGCAATACCAATAAAAATGTGTCAAGAAAATAGCCACATTCTTTTCTTTGCAATAAAAAATGAGTACTTTGCCTCAGTCTTAACAGTGCTATACTGTGTCCATAATTTTGGCTTCTTCATCTTTTTGTAGCATTGAATTTAAATTGCAGACACTTCTGTTTATGCAACCTTGTAGATCATTTGCATTCTGCAACAAATGAAGAATTGAAAGCTTAATCTCAATACATACACTTACAGAGAATTAAGTCAAGCTATTTTGTCTGTTAAGATGAGATAATTTTGTAAAAAATATAATTTCTTAAATAAAACCCTAGACATCATTATAATGTGAACATCAAAAGCTTCTTTAAATTTAGCAAGCATACTATGACCTTATTGTGAATTTTCTTAGGGTTCAGTTACCAGATTTTACCAAACAAGTACCTTGAGTAAATTTATTTCAAAGTACTTTAAATTGTGTCCCATTTCCTAACATCCAGCTTTTAAAAGCTTTTAAAATTTTCTTTTCAGATATGATCATCACTAACACTGAAACCAAGCACCCCAGTGTTCCAAGATAAAGATAAAAACAAGGGCAAAATTGCATAACAGTGCAAATTTTCCTTAGATTTGATTACCTGCATATTTCCATTAATGGAATTAGTAATTTGCAGTTGAAAGCTCATTTCACTTCCTGTGATTCAAAGTATATTTAATTCTGGTACCTGAAGAGGTTAATGATGCAGTTTTCTATTTAGCACAATTATTCAAGGGCACTGAACTAATGTATGCCTTTTGACACTATAAATTGTGAGAGCTTTCAGAAACAATGTCTCTCCCATACTGTTAATAGTGCACACTAGAACTAGCAGTGCTCCAAGTATAGAGACCTATTCCTAGATATCAAAAAGTACATCTTCTCAAGAGTATGCCAAAACTTTGTTCATAATAGAGTTTTTATATTCATTTTTGGAAATAAAAAGTCTACCTGTGACAAAGACTCCAGTCCTTCTACAATACCAGTATAGACACTGGAATTCTCTACTGATATAGCTTGAAAGCCTTGAGACTGTGAACAGATTCTCACTCTTGATTTGAATGCTTCAAGCTCAGTTTTAAAAGCTTCCAAATAGCCTTCTTCCCCTGCCTGTAAAGAGAGGAGTGAAATACTTTTCATCTTAGCCAGATTTACTTCTAGTTGTAAGCATACATACTGCTAAAAAGAAGTCCTGAAGTAATGCATATTATACTCATTGAAGGATAGAGGTTTGGACAAGTCAATAACAATATTAGCAGCAGTCAGCTTAAAAAGAGGATTCAGTGTTGGAATGCAAGCATCTCTGAGTCCATCAGAGAGAGAAATGAATGTAGGGGTTGAATTAAAGCCTTCAGAGAAATTAAGATCTATTAAGCCACATAGATATGGAGTAGAAGTGTAGGTTTAAGTTTTAAGTAAGTAGAAATGTAAGTTATAGTTTCAAGTAAGTAGAAATATATTTTAAGTGCTTTAAGAAACTGTGTTAGGTAGTAAAGGCCCTAAGGCCCAGTTTAAAGTTCAGTAACAGTTCCAGACATAACAAAAACATAGCAGAACTTTGCTTGCATCTCTAGAATTGATAGAACTAATGCGTAAATAGATAGAACTATTCACGTAAATAGATAAACTTATATACATACATTTTTAGTAAGAAAACAGATAGTACATTTGCATAAATAGATGTCCTAGGGTGACGTTATGATGCTTGTATCCCCAATCGTCTGTTCTGTTTATGCTGGATATTATATTCTGTGCCTTCAAGACTGGCTCTGAGAGTGAAGGTGGGGAGAAGAAGCACGGAGTTTGTTATCAGCCTGCACTCACTCCTCCACAGTCTGCTGGAACACAGAACTCCACTGTGTTGTCTGGGCACGGATGGGGCAGAACAGGGCCCTTCTTTGCTTTTTTAGTTAGTTTAGTTAGCTGAGGCAGAGAAGTTTTCCCTGGACTGGTTTTCTTTCCCTTTTGGAACTGTTCAAACCTGCTCCAGACTGGGACCCAGGGGGAGCACCGAGAGCTTGCACTTTGTTGCCACTGGGGCCTACTCTGGGCAGCAGACTTTCCCAGTGCTGGAGGAACTGATAACAGATTGACCACCCACAGGAGAGATTTTCTGAATTTGTCATCTCTTCAGAGCGGCGAATGAGTTTTGTCATCTGGTATTGTTCATTTTTTCTGCTGGCGAGTGCTTTGCCTGTTTAAATAAACAGGTTTTTTTCCACTTCTCTCCGAGGAAAGTTTTCCCGAACCGGTTGGGGGCGGAGCCATGTGGGTTTGCTTTCTGGGGGGACCCCTTTTGGAGGTTTTCTCCCAAATTTGCCCAAAACCAGGACAATAGATAATATTACATATGTTGTTTTTTGGGCAAGAACTGACACTACTTTCGTACTACTTTCGCACATTAGAATAAACTTCAGATTGGGATCGAAAGAATGTTTTAGAATCGCGTTTATAGCTGATTGGTTGTTTTACGTATAAAAATCCCCCTGTATTGGGAAGAGGACAAGAACCACAACAACAAGAAGAAGATGAAGATGAACTACAACAAGAAGAAAGAAGAAAAGGACTGTGGGGCTGTGGTGGCTGCTGCTTTGGCTTGGGACTCTATGCTACGGAGCTGTTACTACTGCCTCTGCTTGGGACTGTGTCGGGTAGCTGCTGCTGCTGCCTCTGCTCGGGACTCTACGCCAGAAAGCTTTAACATGGACTTTTAAACTTAGAACTCTTTGTGGAGCAATGTATCTGAACAACTTAGACTACAGTGTGCACCAGCCATCCTGCTTGTAACTGCTCTTATCAGAATTTTCTCAGCGCCCTCTGGAATTCATCAAGGTTACTAATACATAAACTGTGCTAAAATAAGAAAGATGAAACTGAGAAACCAAATTCCAAGACCACAAGACCTTGATAATGGGGGGTGGCAAAGCACCTGGACTGTAACCAATCACATATTCTGAGAGGTGCATGCAGAATGCGTGGACAAGACAAAGGCACCAATAAGAAATGGGTGACTAGTGTGTACAGAGAGTTAGAATGTATAAATAAGTGCATCATGTAAACAATAAATGGCTTCTGCTTAATCATATTGGTCTGTTGTCCAGGAGTCCTGAATTTCCCACACTCTTTGCCTTTGAGACTGATGTATTCATGCAATAAACAACTTTATAGCAACCAACAACTGCTCTTGCCTCTTTGAAGACCCCAGACCCAAGAAAAACTCGACAATTCAGGTATGATGGTTTTTGTTTGTTTGCTTTGTTTTAAAGACAGACTTTGGCATTTGATAAGTATAGGAACTGAGATATTCATTCATCTGAGAACATGCAAGAACAAAACAAACATATTTTTAACCCTTCCTTTATTCTACCTCAGAAGTCAATACCCTTAAGAGAAAAGGTACTCGTGGCAGCACTCACTTCAAAAGCAAAGCATGAATCAAAGTGGGTGTCAGCTTAAGTCCTTAGGGCAGCATTAAGATCAGCCTGACTTGATTCTTCAGTCTTGTGTAACTTAATATAGAACCTGAATCAAACCACAGCTCCAGTCTTCACCACACATCTCTCCCTCTCTCAGCATTTCAGAGCTAACTATCACTGACTGAAGAGAAACAGATTTCAAATTAGGCCCTGCCATGAACTGCATAGAGACGCATGATGACAAGCAAAATAGGATACTCAGTCCTTAGACACATTCATGATACAGATAAGTAACATGATCCTCACACATTCACATTACCAATGTAATTTAGGTGGTGCTTCATTATTCCATACTCCTGTAGTTCCCATGCTATGTTCTGCTTTCCCTCTGGCCTAACAAGAATACATGGAACTTCCATTCTCAAGACCAGAATTACACAAAACATTCATCCTAGAATGCCAACAAAACAACACTTCCCTATAAGCTTGATTCAGTCAGTAACATATTTAACCTCCAACCTCCTTCAGAACACTGATCCTTTGTAAGGGTATAAGAGTTTTTCTCAGTGATATACAAATTCTGACTTACTTTGGCTTTTTGGAAGAATAGACGAAAACAGCCTCTTGGATCCACATTACAACTTCTGGCCATTTCTATAATAAACTGCATCACAAGTGCTTGGTGTGCTATTTGTTCCATCAGAGCTCTTTTCTGGAGAGAAAGTACATAATTAGAGAAAATATCTTTAAAAGTATAAGTCTACCTAAAATTCAACATAATCTTTACATTTGATTCCTAAAGAGAAAAGAACTGATGCTGAGAAACAAAGAAACTTAATTAGCTATGATTAGATCTAATGTAGTAATGTGTTTTTGAGGCTTCCTTCATTATGGGAAGACATGGAGAAGAGTAATTAAATTGGCTCATCAATTTGGACAGCTTTTCTGTAGTGTAAGTGGGAAACTGCATACTTTTAAGCAGTTTAAAGTTCTTCCTAGTACCTGTTCAGCTTCTAGATGAAAACACCACAAGATGAGATATTTAGCTGTTTCTTCACATACAAGATATGGGTAATCAGACAAAAATCTTTGACTGTCATCCCATCTGCCCAGCATGCCTAATTAAAAAAACACAACAGCATTAATTAATACATTCAATATTTCAATGATTTAATGCAGTGAGGACATTATTGAAATTTACATACTACTATGATCTCCTTCATGCTTTATTGATACCTCAGAAGAACTGCATACTAATCAAACTGAACTCAAATTTTTTGTTGTTTTTAAAACACCACACAATGCTGAAAGACCATTGTCAATCAAGTATGCACAAACTGTAAAGATACAATAGGAATAAGACCTTAACAGTAGCAGCTAAGTATATTTTAGTATCTCTGGCAGTGTTAAAAACAAGTTAATTGTAAATGGTTTTCACACACTGTAACAAAGTAGTATCTATCCATATTTGTTAAGAATTTGATGGCATGTCTAAGTTGATGGATATACACTCAGTGATTTGACAGAAACGTTCTTAAAGTTCTTGCAAGTAAGACAAATAGAAATGAAAACATAATCATAATCTAAAACTAATATGCTTCTGGCATGGTTTGCCAGGTTTTAGGAAATACAAAGCTATTTTTATAACCAAGTTCTAGCATTAAGGTCAAAACAGGAGACCAAACTCAGTGGTTGAAAGTTAACTTGAAGACTGAATTGTAGTAAGTAGCATAAAACTACCTTAATGGAAAGAGCTGCAGGTTGAAAGCCAGAATTCAGAATTTAAGCAGTGAGATCACCTTTGCCCCCATTGTCCTTCACATGAGTTAATTGACCTAAAATATATATTAGTGATATTTCACTGCTTGCCAATACTAGATACAAAGTTTTACCCTTCTATCACTCATATAAATATAGCTTTAAAATTAAAAGTGGCTGCATCTCTACATAGTCTTAACAGCTGTTTTGCAGATATTTGCTTTTTATCATTCATCCCCCTCATGGATTATGAGACAGTAAAACTCCACCTACTTATAGGAGGCAGGTACAGACAATCCCAGGTACTTTTACATGCAGGAATTGCATCTCCACTAATGCCCCTATCATTTCTCATGGAACAGCAGAAGAAGTTGCTAGAATTTAATTTTCATTACTTTAAAAATTTTTTCAGTTCTATACTGGTGCAAGAAATTTTCATTGATCATAGGAATTTAAAGACTTGGGTGATTTAGTTTCCTTTACTTTGAAATATTTATTTGTTATAATGCTAAATCTCCTGTCCTGAGAAACAAGAGTCTAGATACTCTACTTGACAGATGTTTCATTTGTTAACACCCATTTTGAATAATAATAATAATAAAAAATAAATAGACCTACACAAATTCTACTGGAGGTTAAACTGCAAAATGTTGGAAGGAACATACTTACCAAAGTATCTAATCTTTTGTTCATGCTTCTGTATAAATGATTTAGATATATCTTCATCTTCATCTTCTTTTCTTTTATATTTACTAATAAAACTCTAAAGATAAGAAAAAAGCTATCATAGAATCTCCACATTTACCTTTTTGAACTATAAGATTATTTTAATTCATTACTATCTAAAGTGCAACGTTCTAGTTTTAAGCATAGCCCAGCAAACACATATGTAGCCAACACTTAATGTACCTATGAAGGTTGTTTACCAAAACATAGCTTGTCTAATTAATAATAGGGTGAAAAACTACTTATCATACTCTTCTTCTAAGCAATAATCTATCTCAAAGTTCAACACACTAGTAGGAACTTACTGATCTATAAATGATGAGAAACATCTATACAGTCCAGTCCCAATAAAGCTAACTCAGTGGAATTAGAAAAATGATGCATTAATAATTCATATTCAAATTAAGTGCTGAAAACAAAACTGGAATTTACTATGAAGGCAGTTTGTGCTAAAATAATCTTTATTAAGAAATTAATGTTCTCAGAGGTCAATTGTGCATGTTTCAAATGTGAGAATTTGGCATAACAAAGAAGCAAATTTCACGCGAAGAACAATTGCTCATCCTTGGTTTAGGCAGCAATTGCTAGAAGGGACAAATAAAATTTCTGATTCCAAACTAAAGGAGAAGTGTCACATATATTTCTTATATCAGTGTAATATGCCCCCTTTAAAAGGACAAAAAAAGAAAGAAAAAAATTCAACACCTTACAGTAAGCACTGCACTAGATATAGAAAACATTCAAGATGAGAAATAAATGAAATATAAAAGGCTTATAATTGTGTTCATACAAATTTATATGACATACCTTATTAAATACCTCCTTACTAAAAGAATCTGTGTTCCATAGATTCTGTCTTTCCCTCTCTATTAGGGCTGCTTCTTTTCTCTTCCATTCTTCTTCTCTTTGTCTCAGTTCTGAAGCTTCAGTCTGTGCTTTGGCATATTCCTGATCCATGGATTCTGAATTATGCAGTGCTAAACTACCAAGTTTCTGCTGGGCTTCTGCTAGATTCCATTTGGATTCTATGGAACTCTTCACAAACTCTTCTTGGTTTTGACAGATTAATTCAATCCCTTGATCATAGTTCTGTGTAGAAAACAAAACATGCTGTTTAAGGAAGGAAAACAGAATTTATGAAGCATATAGAAAGAGAAGACTTTGACTCCCAAATAGAACACTGAGATGGAAGGCATCTTAAAAGCAATATTATATTCACAACTGACTAAACATATTACCAGATGATAAATTGTCTACACCTGGTGAGCTAACACAATGCTTATTCTACCATAACCACTGGCCTATGGAACTGCACAATGCCCATTGTGTAAGGAGAACTGAAAGTTCACCAGCCCCAGTGCCCTGCCCACTCAGCCAGGTTGACAGAACGCATGTGTAAAGGGGAGGGAAAATATGCTAATGATTTTGGGGAAATGATTATCATATGTATGTTTAGTCCAGGACAGTCAATGAATGTGTATGTAAAACACAGTATATAAAGAGAAACTTCCCTGTACTCAGCGTGCACAGCTTTGGGAGGAGCTATCCCCACATGCATCTGGCCAAATAAAGAATGCCTGCTTCTTAATGTTGCATCGGTTTTAAGGAGTTTTTTTATTTTACTGAATTTTTGGTTACAGTAATGTAGGAATACAGCTAGAAAGCCGAGCTGGGAGCACTGTCCAGCTCATGACAGAAGTGGATATGTTAGCATTAGTAGGCCACAAGCCTTGGCAACAAAAAGCAGAACCTCAAAGAAGGAATGCAGAAGTTAGCAGTGTGCTTGGTACGATGTGCTTGGTAAGCAAAACTCATATGAGGTAATGCATACTTGCAGTAGTTAGTATGAGGTTTTGAATTAAGCAACATTACCTAGTTACATAAATGTTATAGTTGTGCTATTTTTAGTAACTGCTGAAAAGGTATATAAGCTCAGCTTTGGGAATCAATAAATGACTTAGTGCGTGCAAACCATGGAGTCCATGTCTCTTTCATCAGTAGTCGTCAAATGGTGCCCTCGTTGTGAGGAAGTGGAGATCGCCTAGCTGTGCGACTGACGACAAGCCCTGCAGAACTAAGTGCTGCTGAGAGGAAGCAGGAAAGCCGGCCGGTGATGAACCCCTTTGGATAAAGGAGGTGAGGTACCTCTCCGGGATATAGGAGGTTAGCCGCTGCAGGGGACAGTGGGTCAGGGAATATCTGCTCAGGAAAGAGATGTTTTTGAACTTATGTCTAAGCTGTTGCAACAGCATGGCAAAACTGTACTCTCACATGACTTAAAAGTCCTATTAGGATGGGCAGCTGCTGAGATCCCAGGAATCATCGAGTTCACAGTCTTTACAACAGATCTGTGGGACAAAGCGGGAATTAAGCTATGGGATTCTGTTACCAAGGGGAGTAAAGCGGCTGCAGAAATGATCCCTTACTGGCGAGTGATTTTTGAGACCTTAAAGGCTCATGAAACCTCCCAGGCTGCAGAGAATACCTGCTCTCCCTCTACAGCAGAAACTTAATGCTCTTTAAAATCTGAAGAGACTGCCACTAAAGTTGTTCGCCCCTCCTTCACAGCAGTCTCAAAATTCCATACATTCTGAAGAGACTATGTCTCCTTCTCCCACACCATGGCGAACATGACCCTCAGCCTCCGTACCATCTCTCATGAGGGGAAGGAAGGGGGGCCCTTCGCGCTCTGTAGGGGCTTTTGCTGCTGGCTTGGGTCCAGAAAATAGTGAGGAAAGTGAACAGGAGGGCCCCAAGGAGGATCCCTTTAATCCCAGATACATCAATTCTGATAAAAAACCTGATTTATATCCCCCCGACCCTCATGACAACTGGGTACGCTTAAAACAACAAGTATTAAGGGAGGGAGAGTTTGACATTGCTGAAAGAATTGTGGCACCATTAATATATTCGGGCACTGGAAAACAAACTGCTCATTGGGAACAGTTGTCTTTCCCAGAAATTAAAGAGCTCCATTGGGCAGCCACAGAGCACGGTATTGGTTCACTGTATTTTACAAACCTACTAGATTCTGTGTTTGCTGCTCACAAAATGACCCCACACAATTTAAAAACTCTCACTTGGCTGCTGCTGTTTCCCATTCAATATGGCTTATGGGAGAAGGAGTGGGAGAAGGGTCTGCCAAGACTTCTTATAACTTATGTGGGTCATGCTGATCAGACCCTGGCAGCCCTCACAATCAGGCAGCTTATGGGAACAGGACCATATACTGATCCTGCTGCCCAGGCACAAGACTACCCAAGGGAAGCCCTTGATGGAGCCTGGGATGCAGCTCGCCAAGCCTTTCTTAAGGTCCCCGATTCAAAAACACCTCATAAAGCGTTCACAACCATTGTCCAGGGGCCTCAGGAGCCCTACATGGAGTTTATTGACCACCTTAAGCAAACACTCGAATGTCAAATAGATAATGCAGACGCTTGTGAAATGTTGCTTTTAAATCTTGCTGTTGAAAATGCAAGCATAGACTGTACAACACTCTTTAAGTCCCTGCCTAACCAAGAACCAACCGCATTGGGACAATAGACCATCAATATGAAACTATGACCACAGCTTTTGCAGCCATCAAAGGTGACTCTGGAACTCTGGCAGTTTGTTACAGCTGTGGCAAGCCTTGCCACCTTAAAAAAGACTGCTTTGCTCAGAAAGGAGCTAAGCAAAAACCCCTGATGTATGTCTGCGGTGTTGTAAAGGTTGTCCTTTTGCTAACCAATGTCGCTGGTAAGTACGATTCTGAAGGTTGCCCAATCCAGGGAAACTGGAAATGCAGTGCAGGCTGGTGCCATGCTCTGACACAAATGCCTCAGCCGACACCAGTGCCTCAGCTGCCACCGCAGATGCCAACTCTGCAAGTGCAGCTGCCGAGAATACCCAATCCAGGATCGCCTCAAGTCTTCGCCCAGCAACTGCAGGCATTGCCAGACTGGACCTGGCAACCTCAGTCACAGTAACATTGCTTGACTCTTCTGTTCATTTACTCCCTACAGGAATTTTTGGCCCACCAGGACCCCAGAAAAGTGCTTTGCTGGTGGGGAGGTCTTCAACTACCCTTTTAGGTCTTTTTGTCCTCCTGGGAGTTATAGACTCAGACTCTGTTGGGGAAATTAAAATCATGGCTTGGACTCCCTTTCCGCCCTGTACTGTCCCTCAAGGTACATGTATTGCACAATTGATTCCTTTTTCACAGTTTGTCATCCCCTTTAACAGAATGCAATACTAGGATGGGAGGATTTGGCTCTACAGGGACCCCACAAATATTATGAGCGCAGATAATTTCTAATTAACGTCCCACTTGCAAATGTACCTTGTCATCACAGGGGGAACAGATAACACTCACTTGTATTTTAGATACTGGAGCAGATGTCAGTGTTATCTCTCAAGTCAAGTGGTCCCTCACTTGGCCCCTCACAGAGGTACCCCAAGCTCTCACTGGGATTGGAGGGAGCAGTTGCAGTTACCAAAGTTGTCATCTAATTCAGGTGACAGGGCATGAAGGTCACATAGCCTCTGTGAAGCCGTTCATTCTGCCTGTGCCCATGGTATTACGGGGACGAGATGTACTTTCTCAATGGGGTCTCAAAATTCAGTCTGATTTTTAATAGGGGCCATTGTGGAGTATGACACCCTGAAATTAACCTGGAAAACTGAAACACCCCTCTGGGTGGATCAATGGCCCCTCCCGCTACCTAAATTACGTGCACTCACCGACCTTGTTAATGAACAACTTCAAAAGGGACATATTGTCTCCTCTACCAGTCCCTGGAATTTGCCTGTGTTTGTAGTTAAAAAACAAACCATCAAGTGGCACTTGCTCCAAGACCTCTGCAAAATTAATGATGCCATGGAGGACATGGGAGCCCTTCAGCCTGGTCTCCCATCCACTACCATGATCCCTCGAGATTGGCACTTAACAGTCATTGACTTAAAAGACTGCTTTTTTGAAAGTCCTCTGCATCCTGATGATGCTCCTAAATTTGCCTTTTCTGTTCCAAGCATTAACATGCAAGCACCTTTGCAAAGATATCACTGGGTTGTCCTTCCTCAAGGAATGAAATGCAGTCCCACTATTTGCCAGTGGTTTACTGCGAGTGTCCTCAGACCCATTCACCTAAAAATGCCTGCTGCCTTATTATATCATTACATGGATGACATTCTTATTGCAGCAGAAAAACAGGAAGTCATGAAGGAGGCCTTAGCCCTTGTCATTGCTGCTGTAACCCAAGCAGGGCTTTGTGTTTCTTCTGAAACAATCCAGCGTCAACCCCCTTGGAAATACCTTGGCTGGCGCATTAGGACCCAGAGTATTTCTCCTCAGCCTTTACAGATTCAAACAAACATTCATACCTTGCATGATGCTCAAAAGCTATTGGGTTCCCTCCTTGTTAGAAATATCAAATGCTGACCTGAACCCTTTGTTTGATCTGCTAAAAGGGGAACCAGATCTCCTGTCACCTCAGCAGCTCACACCAGAAGCCTGACAGGCACTGCAATTGGTAGCTGATGCTATTTCAAATTGGCAAGTGGCCCGATGGGGCCCTGAATTTCCCTTTTCCTTAATTGTTCTGAATCCGGCTAGGCAACCCCATGCTTTGATATTTCAGAGGGATCCTAAAGCACCTGACCCCTTGCTGATCATAGAGTAGATTTTTTTACCCCACCAGATGTCAAAAACTGTCACCACTCAAGATGAGATGCTTGCTTTGCTCATTGTAAAAGCTAGACAGAGACTTATCACACTTGCAGGTGTGGATTTTTGCTTGATCTGTTTGCCTTTCACTACTGTCTATTTACAGTGGCTGTTGCAGCAATCTGAAATTTTTCAAATGGCCCTCACTGACTTTTCTGGACAGCTTTCTACACATCCCCTGAAGCACAAGCTTGTGGCAACCAGCTTTAATCTCCTAACACCACCCAAGAGAAGTGAGCTCCCATTACAAGCTTTGACTGTCTTTACAGGTGGATCTGGCTGCACCCACAAGTCGGCACAGCTTTGGTGGAACACTGATCTCAGCCAATGGGATTCGGATGTCACTACTGTTTCAGGTTCCCCCCAGATTGCTGAATTGGCAGCT